AGGCCTCTGGAAAAAGGACATGTTTTCTATAACTCTTCCCTAAACTGGACCAATGGACAGAAAAAGACGAGGAAGGAGATATAAACTGTCAAGCAGCCTTCTTCAATCTGATGCCCCCCAGAAGTTTCGGGCTGCAATTTTTATAATTCCCATGAAACAGGCAAAACATTTGGAGGGCATATGTGGCAGGAAGGCAGTTCCAAGGGCAAAACGGTAACAAAGCTCAGGAAGTATTTTGTAGCCTTCAAGCATGATCTAATTTACAGTCTACGCAAGCAGCTCCATCTTAAAACTGTTACAAGCTGCAGACTGGATCCTCCCCATTCCAATAAGGTGATATGGTTCCTTTTAGACTTCCTCTGACTATGACAATTGTTTACTTAATAGAACAAGTTATTTTGGCACAACAGCAAATTCATATATTTGGTTACAGAGCCGAAACCACTGCCACCAAATGCCTCACGAATAACACCTTGCAGTCGCTTCCAAGAGGACTTGACTTAATGGCCTTTACTGAAAACAAAGGCAAGAGATTCAAATCCCAGCCACCAGAATGAAATACCATTATTCTCCATTCTGCTTAATACGGTATTTCCTTGAATACTATTTTGATCATCTTTTCCAGTTTATTCAACACTCCGGAAGTAGACTCCACATGAAGAACATACACAGAGAAATGTTAATACTACAATTAATGCTTGACAGAATGCTCAACGTAAAGTATTAGCTAAGAATGTAGTGCTTAAGAGTTTCTGAAAAAAGCAAAAACATGCAGGAACACAGTGATTCATAGTTAACTAAATATTAGAGAATCAGTTCCAACTGAGCATCCCCTCCCCGTTCTTCTGGATTGATAAGAAGCAGCTCCCAGATACAGTTTCAAATCCTATTGATAACACACAATTTTCTTCATCATTTCCAAAAATTAGAAAGCACAATATATTGCATTTATATATTCCGTAAAATCCAGACTGCTGGGTTACGTTCATTAATACATGAATATCAACAGGCTCCAATTAGGAACAAAACTGACACTCTACTTACATTATTTCCAAGAGAACTGAGGTCTTCCGAACAAATTCAATCCACAGCAAGATGCAGAATGGCAGTATATGTTTCTAGATTTAAAAAAAAATTATGTAAAAGTTAGTAACTTTGAGAGTTGTGCAGCTACTTTACAGAATAACATTTACCACCATACAAGTACATTTTAAAGGGTTAACTATGGTCACATAACTAGAACATAAAAACTCTTTATCTTTGACTGCAGATGCTATATACTAATGCATAAAGTAAGTGTGTGTGTGTGTGTGTGTGTGTGTGTGTTACAAAGAACAGCATTAGCAGAATTGTGAAAGATGGTTAATAATTTAAGTTACAATCTGGCGCAAAATGATTTGGCAGCGCTATTAAGCTCAGTGAGACTGACTTCTGCTTATACGCATGGAATTGCATGCTTAGTCCAGAGTTATCCTACAGCCATGGACATATTTTATTCTTTTACCTTGTCTCCTGTAGTCACCCCATGTGACATTTTTGTAATTATCTTCCTCTCAGCAAAGTAAATCATTTTTAGAGTGACAACACTGTCAAGAAGTCATTTGAAAGGGTGCAATTTTTAAAATATCAATTCTATGCCTGTTTGCTTGTTGAAAAACATAGAAGTGGCATTCCTTATTCAGGTAGTCCTTGCCTAATGACCATTCGTTTAGTGACCATCTGAAGTTATGATGGCGCTAAAGTGACTTATGACTGGTGCCTGAAGTTACAACTACCGCAGTGCCCCCACAGCCACACGATTGCAGTCTGGGTGCTTAGCAACCAGCTCACACGGTGGTCACAGCATCCTGGGGTCATGTGATTGCCATTTGCGACCTTCCCAGCTGGCTTCCAGCTAGCAAAATCAATGGGGAACTACGTGATTCACTTAATGACTGTGGTGATTTGCTTAATGGCTGCTGCAAAAAAGGTTGTAAAATCTGGTCCAGCCACACGATTCGCTTGATGACTGCATCACTTTAGCGACCTAAATTCTGGTCCCAATTGTGGTCGTTAAGCGAGGACTACCTGTATAATAAATTGAAGATGTTTGTTACAAATAATAATGTCTGTGCTGGAGATGTAATGATGCAACCAGCCTTTCTATTTTGAACATCTATAGGAAATGAGGGTAGCAAATAGTGAATGGGGTGGAACAGAATTTAAAATACTCAACCAAATTAGCAATTCTGTTTTCAAATAAAACCAACCACACGCACATTAAATCTAATAAGAATTTATCTCCTGCCAAGATGGGAGGGAGAGAGAGAAACGCAAGTTTCTGGTCCTTCTCTGTCACCTCCTAGTTCATGCCACTCCCATGAACAAGCTCATATTCCTATTCCCTCTGGTCAGTTTTCTAGGAGGAGAGAGTGCAATCCTGCTCCTTCTCTCCCATCTAAGAGAGGTACTCAAAACTACACTTGTGGATAACAATAACATTACCTTCTTGCTTTCCCACCCCATGCTGAACATCCATGCTTATTTGGAAAATGTTGTGTTAAGGCTGTTATCAACTGCAAAGTTCAAAAGTACTTCCTTTGACTTCTGGTGGTGATTCAGGGATGGGTCCATGGAGTTTATTTATTTATATATCAAATTTATATAGCCACCCATCTCACAAGTGACTCTGGGTGGCATACAACTGCCAGGTTCAGCCCAAGAACAGCAACGGGGCAATCCAGTACAGTTCAGTTCCTTTATTAGCTGGCACCTAATAGATAGAATCTCGCCAGACTAAACCTAGGCTAAAGCACCGAGTGGCTATACTCCGTGAGACTCTAGGGGGGGGCCAGCCTCATCCTCTTCGTCTTCCCACACTCTTGTTGTGGGCTCGGGGGGCCCTTGCTCTGGAAAGCCTCCCCCCCCCGCTGCCAACCT